AACTCCCGCGGGAGACTGGTAAAAGTGTGATAGAGTAGTGTTTGCGGTAGCATATCCTACTCACTACGCACGATCAAAAACGGAACGCGTGAACGATTCTGCTAGCATTTATCTAGTAGATCTACGATCCTTTGATTGTGGATCTCTCTCGTTGATTAGTTTTCATAGCTTTCTAATCCTCTCATATCTTTCATTCTCTCAAACTCAAAACACTCGAAAGATCTTTACACTAGCTTTTAGCGTAGTGCAGTTCTGATCCAAGTGCCCAAGAAGAAAGACCAGGCTTTTGCTTTGCCTTCAGAGCTACTCGGAGAGATACCTTCTGAGGTTCCTCCAAACGTGGATGACTGGGAAGCCTACCAGGATAAGGTCGTGGTGCTGAGGGCCTTGTTGAACACAAGCGGTGGGCTTAAGGAAGAAGAGACCAATGTGACTTCTTCAACGGACATTGGCGAGAACAAAGAGTCGTTTCAGTCTTTTCGTGAAGCTGAACGAGTACTGAAAACCCCGGCTAAGATGAAAAAGTCTTATGAAGCTCCTCAAGACGATGTGCGAGAATGTTTCGACTATTCCACAGTGGGCACGCACACCAAGACTCAGCTGAAGCTTATGTCAGCTGGGGAGGAAGACGAGGACGCTAATTTGAGGCATGATGTGAAGCTCATTTCAGGTGCCTTATTGGAACTCATCGATGCGGTAGATGTTGTGAAAGAGACGGTGGTCACCTACAACGACAGTGTGTCTCGAGCCTTCGAGAATACTAATAAGCGTATCATGGACAAAAAACGAGCTATGCACATCCTTGACGCCAGGAGGGGCTCCGCTGACGTCACTTTGGCGAGGCTTCATTGTTCCTTTGGAAATTACAGCCCAAGACTCGCAACTTGACTCGTATTACTCGCGTCATTCTGCATTTAACTCGCAAGGACTCGCACAGACTCGCACAGAAACGTGACTTTAACTGTAGTCAAAAGCTAGAGACTCGCATGGACTCGCACAGACTCGCACAGACTCGCAATTAGACTCGTTTGACTCGCGTGCGAGTCAAACAAACGCGAGTCGTGCGAGTCTCGCCGAAAAGGTTTCCACAAGAAAGTTCCGAATCATCATGACGTCAGCGGAGCCCCTCCAGGTTGGGTACTCCCTCGTCGGCTTTGGGTGATGCTACTGTATGTGATGCTGTTCTGATTAACAAAGAATGGAATGAACATTCGACGTACTCTCGAAGGTTTCATGAACTAAAGCGGCAGGAGCGTGATGATCCTTGAAGAAAGGATAACTAATACTTTTCAGCTGGTGAAAGAAAACTTCTCGAAACTGGGCCGGTCTCTGGAGGACCGTCTGCATGAGGCTTTGGGTGCCAGAGGATCCTCTATGACCACCAAGGAGTCTCATGAGTTCATGGTGCTGTCACAGTCGATGGATAATCTAGAAGCTGGGCAGTTGGCCTTCAAGCGCCAGACCAACGATGGTTTGAGTCAGATGAACGAGACGATGGAGAGTCTGCGCTTGCGTCTAGTGGTTTTCATCTTTGGAAGACGTGCGAGAGTTTGTTCAGCTACACAATGTGGACCCACTTGCGGGCTTTTTGGACACGTTTTTGGTCTTCGTGGTATTCGTTCAAGATGAGAAGACGGGTGAGGAACACGCAAGAGCTTTCACCACGTCTCTTAAAGCTCATCACAGTCAGGAGGATAGCGATCTGCTCGCATCTTTTACACACCAGGGACCACCCCCTTACTTCTTCACAAGTGCTCCAGACAGACGGGCCGGGAGGATGGTTAATCATAACAAGGATTTAGGAGTGATGCTTCCCTCCTACCAATGACACTTCCAACAGTCAGCGGCAGAGGATAACTCTCCTACTGGAGGATCTGGAGGATTTGTCGAAATCTTTGGAACCTTTGTGAGACATGACTATACCCACGTGGGACGATTGCGTCCTCATATGACACGCCAAGCTCTTCACCATGCTTCTCGTGTGTTGGATTTCATCACAAATTATTATAGGTCCCTTACTCTGGCTTTGCATTACCCAGGAAAGGATGCCTGGGTGTTGGTGGCACGATGTGTGTCCATCTTCTTCCAGACCTTGGTGGGTATCAGGGCCAATGTGATGCGCATTTCAGATTTGACTTCTGAGAGCGATCGAGCTTTAGTGATCTGGACCCTTATGCAGTCTCTGAACAAGTCTCGAGACCACATTGAACGGGTTTTCCAGAGTCACCCTGCTATTATGAAAGAAGTCATGGAATTTCAGCTGGAACATCGCGTGGATGCTAGTCAACTGGCAGCTGTGGCCGACGATGTTAAAGCTGTCAAGTCTTCTGTCAAGTCTATGACGGAGTCTGTGTCTAAAGTTGAGCGCAGCTCCGCCGATTCTAATGAGAAGCATCACAAAGCTACTCAAGACATTGGTCCAAGGCGTTGGACGATTGGTGGACCCGTAAAGGGTCAAATCTGTTATTAAACAGGTTCTGTGTTATATGTTATGAACTATTTGGTATATGATTGTTGATGGGAGTTGGAGAATGGTATATGCGCAGCCGGGAACAGCTTGTTGATACTGTATTGTTGGATTGTTCCTGGGCGCGCCCTTCTGGTTGATGTTGGGTGTTGCGGGGGGGGGGTTCTTATCTTCGCGATTTCCCTCCCTGCCTACCGGTAAGGTTGTTGCGCAGGGAGCCCATGCCCCCATTCGGGAGCCTGATCTGGAGCTGACGGATCCGGATTCTCGTTGTGTGCCTCTTCATTCAAACTCACCAAGTTGAAAATGGAGCGGGTCATGCGGCTGTCAATCATGGTTCCGCTATCGGCCTGAACCAAGGTCTCGATTTGATTCATGCACTGGTTGACGGCCGCGGTGATTTGGGTTCGGGCAGCCGGGCTTAGAGCAGGAGAGCTTTCACCAAGGAATTGGACAAGAAACTCACGAGCGCGAGATGGTTGGTGCATTGGAAGACTCGGCCACGACGGTTTGGGCCCAAGTTGGCGGGTTGGTACAAAAAATTCCAAATAGAAAGTGCAGAGGCAGGCTGCCGACTTCAAACTACTAGTATATCTTGTACTGCTGCTGGGATTCACATTGGTACTAACTATGATACTTATCAAATCTGAGTTGCGAAACAGAAAAACTAATTAATGCATCACAATCATCTCTTGTGCAAACATTTCATTGCCGCCGACCACACTTGCGATGGGAGGCCTGTACCCTCCTCACATTCGTTCGGTATTACAGATCTCACACTTCGCCCTTGAATTTGTTCGTACTTTATTGATGTACGTGCAAGCTAGGCACGCCCAAGGACCGACTATAGATCGAGCCGAGCGACGAGTACCTGACACCGATGGAGCCTCAGCTGGCGTTTTTGTAGTTCGCTTGAAAGCAGCGCTTGGAATTTTGGTCTGGTTCTTTTGGCTGGGTCCACGCTTTGGCATTGTGGCGGCCTTCGGCGCCCTTGGAGGTCTGTTAGTCGCAGTGGAGGTTGAACCTGAGTCGTTGGAAGTTTCTTTGGCCAAGTTCAGTTCGGAGCGTGCGTTTGTTGTTTCATCTGATGCGTCGGCATTGGATTCTGCTGCTGTTCGGGAAGAACCCGCTGGTTGCTTTGCTTTGTCGGAAGAGTTGCGCATAGTGTTGGGTTCGGATGTTGCTTTAGCTTGTGAGTTTGTTTCGATGGTGGGTCTCGTTGAGCCTTCCAGCGGAGATGAACTTACATCCGACGACTTGGAAGAGACGGCTGCCGGTTCCTTCGCATCTGCAACATGTGGCGAGTCGCATGCGCCCGACTTGGAGTTTACAACGATTCGTTCCAAGGCCGCTGATGGCTGAGACAGAACGAAATACGATTGCTGGCTCAAGTGGTGGGAAATTGTGGATGGCGCGTTGGATCCCAACTGGAAAGGGTCTGTTGGTGGAGTGTTACTATCATTCGTAGGTAGGGTTGAGGCTTCTGTATTGGAGCATACCGAATCATTCTCCTTGTTTGAATTGAGCGCACTTGATGGGGTTGCTGGATTGGGGGATGCTCCAATGATGCTGCCGTCGCCTTTCCAATCTCGAGAAGGCTTTTTGGAGCGTGGACATCGTTGTTCGAGTTTCACTTTGAGAGAGAGAAAATTCGCATCCATCTCTGCGTCGAATGCCTTCACTCCACTGGAAACTGTCTTGCCCCAGCCGCCTTTAGCTTTCCCCAGTTTTACTCGGTTTGCTATTAACGCTTCCATTGGCTTGTGGGCTTTGGATGCTTGTTTCTTCGAAGCCTTTTCTGCTTGTTCTTTCTTGCTGACATGGTTTGCAATATCTCGTTTGCTACGGGGCTGTATAGAGTCGCATTCGGAATTGTACAGGGTAATGAAGAGTTCGTGGCGAGCACGCAGTTCTGCGATATCGCCATGGGTGGGCAACCCTTCATCTCCGCAGAGTTCCTGCAATTTTTTCTTTTTGAGCCCATGGTAGTTTGTTTTGGCCCGTTTCTTCAGTTTCTGATTGCCATCAATGTTCTGCAAAACAGCATTGGAGCCAGAGGCAGTGCCATCAGTCTTTGTGTCAGCATCACTCTCTGGTTCAGAACGTGTTTTCCTCTTGCGCCCACCTCTTCCACGGTCTGGTTTGCTCTCATCATCTTCTTCCCTGTCTGCTTGATCGACATCGTTCCCTTCCTGTGAATTGGCGGGAAATGCAAGAGCTTGCATAAGATCTGAGCGGATGGCTCTATACTGCCGAAGCACCAACTCCAACTGTGAATTGGCCACTGCATCATTCTCCGAGACTTCTCGACGACAAGTTGGGCAATCTGCTTTTCGTTTGGCAGATTTCATGCATTTCTTGAAATGTACATGAACGCATGTGCTGCAAAAGGTGTGGCTGCATGGTAACGACACTGGAACCAGAAACAATTCTTGGCAAATGTTACAACGCATGTTTTCCTCCAACGCCTTCATCCCAAGATGGAGTCGATTGGAAGACGAGAACTGCGGGCCTTCCACCCATGCTTGTGCAGAGTCTTTTGCTACTTCTGCTGCAGCGTCCGCGTCTGCCTTTCTTCCGCCGGTAAACATCGAGCTCATGGTACATGTATTCAAACCACCAAGCCTTCACTCCCTTTGAATGAATGTGCTCTTCGATGCAGATGGTCAATCGAAGTGCGGCAGGTTTCAGGCGGTCGTTTTGAATGCAACGCCTCTAAGTCTTTTTTGAATTGCGCGCCAATCCATAAGCCAACAGGTTGGTTTGACTGTCCTGCCCTCGTTTGCCAAATCTCTTTGAGCGAGGAACGATGAATGAATCGAATGATTGATCATTTCAATCGAATGTTCAACCAGCTAAAAGCTTCTAACTAAAATCATAAAGGACGAAGTGGTGACCAGTGTGATGGCCAAACTGTGGGAGTTTTTGGTATCCACATAGGCATACCGTAAGTCCACAACCTTCATCAGGGGAACGGAGAGCTGTGCTTTTATGTACAGCATCGCACTGACAAGCGATTTGTGAGTACAGAGTAGAGCATTAATTTTAAGTCTGTTGGCATTGACATTGGAGAGGCATCCCAATCTCTTCGGCAACGGCATTGCCCACAAAATGACGTGTGAAGTGCTTCTTGGTGGGTATCCCCTGACATTTTCACTAGTATCTGCCCCCCACGAGATGTTTGATGAGCTATTAATAGCTAGTGGCGGGACTTGTGTAAAGTGTACCGGAACGAAAGATCTGGTACCACGATACCGGTACCGGTCACCGGTACCGGTACGAAAGATCGGGTAAAATTTTCACATCAGAACCGAAGCCAATAGAGCGGATTGACTGTCCTGCCCTTGTCATGTGATTGACTCGGGCTTCAATCTCTGGAAAAATGGAGTTTGGAATGATGAATGATGAAGTCGAATGATTCAATCATTGGGGACAAACGTGATGGCCAGTGTGAGGGCCAAACTGTGGAAGTTTTGGGTATCCACATTAGGCCTTTAGTCCACAGCCTTCTTCAGGGGAATGGAGAGCTGTGGTTTGATGTACAACGACATCATTTATTTGTTAGTAAGATTGACATTGGTTGAATCTCTTCAGCAACAACTCTGTCCACAGAATGACGTGAAGTTCTCTACTTGGCCACTTCAATCAATCGGTACCGGTACCGGTAAGCAATCCCTTCGGGATTGCCCTTGGTCGCCTTCTCCTTCTGCTGCTCATCATCCATGGTCAAGTGGTTGGTTGTTGGCTATCTCTCAGTCCGGATGGACTGGGGGAGAGCCTCACAACGCTTGAGCTGAGCATGACCCAGAAGGAGATGTGAAGTCTAGGTCAGGATTGAAACCTGAACCTGGACTGAAAGCTTCTTCTGACCACCGGGTGGGCGGGTGTTGGGATGCAGGAAAACGAAGGCTTTGTACATCAACTGTTGTTGGTGTACAAAGACAAGAGAATAAGCACTTGGTGCTTGTTATCTTGTTGGTGCCAGCTCATCCAATGCCAATGCTGGGTGAGCAGGCACTACCTACAGTTACCTGCCGGTCATGTTGGCTTTAAGGTTGTGGACCCTCATTTGCTCTGCTACTGGTGCTTCACTATGAATGGAGTTAGTCTCTGCCGGACAATCCCTTCGGGATTGCCCTCGGTCGCCTTCTCCTTCTGCTGCTCATCATCCATGGTCAAGTGGTTGGTTGTTGGCTATCTCTCAGTCCGGATGGACTGGGGGAAAGCCCTTGCCAACAGCCTTGCTTGGAGGAG